AATAAGAACGTAGAAAATGTAGCTTGTCTGTGTGGTGTAGTTGGTTATCACACTAGTCTCATAGATTGGAGGTCCCCAATTCCAACCTGGGCTCAGACATGTAAATTTGTTTCTAAACTCTTCGTTTTTTTACAAGGAAATTAGTGTTTAGTTGACAGTTAATAAAAAAATGTTGTTGTAAATTTGCTTCTAAGCTCTTCGTTTTTTTACAAGGAAATTTGTGTTTAGTTGACAACTTTTTAAAACACACCTCTGGATTCAATTACTTCTCGAATTAAAAATCTCATTCCATCATTAAAAAAAATAAAAAATGTAGTTGTCTGGGTGGTGTTGTTGGTTATCACGCAAATCTAACACAGTAGTGGTCCCTAGTGCAAACCTGGGCTCAAACATGTTATTTTGCTTTCCACCTATGTTTTTACCAGGAGATGTTTTGAAATTATATTGGTAAGTATTTTCCTTTCTTAATTATACTTTGATAGATTTTAGTGTATGTTTCGTACATGAGTTTACACATTAGAAATGAGAATAAAAATCATAGTTAGTGTTTGGTTGACAACTTTATAAAACACAAGTATGGATTTGATTAACCCTACAATTAAAAATCATATTCCCTAATTATAAACGGTAACATTTCGATTAGATTTCTAATAAGAAAGTAGAAAATGTAGCTTGTCTGGGTGTTGTAGTTGGTTATCACACTAGTCTCATAGATTGGAGGTCCCCAATTCAAACCTGGGCTCAGACATGTAAATGTTCTTATAAGTTCTTCTTTTTTTTTTTTTTTTTTTACCTGGAAATTAGTGTTTGGTTGACGACTTATTAAAACATAACTATGGATTTAATTACTTTTCGAATTTAAAATTTATTTCCATCATTAAAAATCGTATAATTATAATTTAGTAAGTAAAAAGAAAATAAAAAATGTAGTTTTATGGGTGGTGTTGTTGGTTATCACGCAAATCTAACACATTAGTGGTCCCAAGTGCAAACCTGGGCTCAAACATGTTATTTTGCTTTCCACCCATGTTTTTACCAGGAGATGTTTTGAAATTATATTGGTAAGTATTTTCCTTTCTTAATTATACTTTGATAGATTTTAGTGTATGTTTCGTACATCAGTTTACACATTAGAAATGAGAATAAAAATCATAGTTAGTGTTTGGTTGACAACTTTATAAAACACAAGTATGGATTTGATTACCCCTACAATTAAAAATCATATTCCCTAATTATAAACGGTAACATTTCGATTAGATTTCTAATAAGAGAGTAAAAAATGTTGCTTGTCTGTGTGGTGTAGGTGGTTATCACACTAGTCTCATAGACTGGAGGTCCCCAATTCAAACTCGGGCTTAGACATCTAAATTTGCTTCTAAGCTTTTTTTTTTTTTTTTTTTTACTAGGAAATTAGTGTTTGGTTGACAACTTATTAAAACATAACTATGGATTTAATTACTTCTCGAATTAAATATCTCATTCCATCATTAAAAATCGTATCATTCTAATTTAGTAAGTAAAAAGAAAATAAAAAATGTAGTTTTCTGGGTGGTGTTGTTGGTTATCACGCAAATCTAACACATTAGTGGTCCCTAGTGCAAACCTGGGCTCAAACATGTTATTTTGCTTTCCACCTGTGTTTTTACCAGGAGATGTTTTGAAATTATATTGGTAAGTATTTTCCTTTCTTAATTATACTTTGATAGATTTTAGTGTATGTTTCGTACATCAGTTTACACATTAGAAATGAGAATAAAAATCATAGTTAGTGTTTGGTTGACAACTTTATAAAACACAAGTATGGATTTGATTACCCCTGCAATTAAAAATCATATTCCCTAATTATAAACCGTAACATTTCGATTAGATTTCTAATAAGAAAGTAGAAAATGTAGCTTGTTTAGGTGTTGTAGTTGGTTATCACACTAGTCTCGTAGACTGGAGGTCCCCAATTCAAACCTGGGCTCAGACATGTAAATTTGCTTCTAAGCTCTTCATTTTTTACAAGGAAATTAGTGATTGGTTGACAACTTTTTAAAACACACCTCTGGATTTAGTTACTTCTCGAATTAAAAATCGTATCATTCTAATTTAGTTAGTAAAAAAAAAAAAATGTAGTTGTCTGGGTGGTGCAGTTGGTTATCACGCAAATCTAACACATTAGTGGTCCCTAGTGCAAACCTGGGCTCAAGCATGTAATTTTGCTTTCCACCTATGTTTTTACCAGGAGATGTTTTGAAATTATATTGGTAAGTATTTTCCTTTCTTAATTATACTTTGATAGATTTTTGTGTATGTTTCGTACATGAGTTTACATATTAGAAATGAGAATAAAAATCATAGTTAGTGCTTGGTTGACAACTTTATAAAACACAAGTATGGATTTGATTACCCCTACAATTAAAAATCATATTCTCTAATTATAAACGGTAACATTTCGATTAGATTTCTAATAAGAACGTAGAAAATGTAGCTTGTCTGTGTGGTGTAGTTGGTTATCACACTAGTCTCATAGATTGGAGGTCCCCAATTCCAACCTGGGCTCAGACATGTAAATTTGTTTCTAAACTCTTCGTTATTTTACAAGGAAATTAGTGTTTAGTTGACAACTTTTTAAAACACACCTCTGGATTTAATTACTTCTCGAGTTAAAAATCTCATTCCATCATTAAAAAAAATAAAAAAATGTTGTTGTAAATTTGCTTCTAAGCTCTTCGTTTTTTTACAAGGAAATTAGTGTTTAGTTGACAACTTTTTAAAACACACCTCTGGATTTAATTACTTCTCGAATTAAAAATCTCATTCCATCATTAAAAAAAAATAAAAAATGTAGTTGTCTGGGTGGTGTTGTTGGTTATCACGCAAATCTAACACATTAGTGGTCCCTAGTGCAAACCTGGGCTCAAACATGTTATTTTGCTTTCCACCTGTGTTTTTATCAGGAGATGTTTTGAAATTATATTGGTAAGTATTTTCCTTTCTCAATTATACTTTGATAGATTTTAGTGTATGTTTCGTACATGAGTTTACACATTAGAAATGAGAATAAAAATCATAGTTAGTGTTTGGTTGACAACTTTATAAAACACAAGTATGGATTTAATTAACCCTACAATTAAAAATCATATTCCCTAATTATAAACGGTAACATTTCGATTAGATTTCTAATAAGAAAGTAGAAAATGTAGCTTGTCTGGGTGGTGTAGTTGGTTATTACACTAGTCTCTTAGAGTGGAGGTCCCTAATTCAAACCTGGGCTCAAACATGTAAATTTGGTTCTAAGCTCTTCTTTTTTCTACTAAGAAATTAGTGTTTGGTTGACGACTTATTAAAACATAACTATGGATTTAATTACTTCTCGAATTAAAAATCTCATTCCATTATTAAAAATCGTATCATTCTAATTTAGTTAGTAAAAAGAAAATAAAAACTGTAGTTGTCTGGGTGGTGTTGTTGGTTATCACGCAAATCTAACACATTAGTGGTCCCTAGTGCAAACCTGGGCTCAAACATGTTATTTTGCTTTCCACCTGTGTTTTTACCAGGAGATGTTTTGAAATTATATTGGTAAGTATTTTCCTTTCTTAATTATACTTTGATAGATTTTAGTGTATGTTTCGTACATGAGTTTACACATTAGAAATGAGATAAAAATCATAGTTAGTGCTTGGTTGACAACTTTATAAAACACAAGTATGGATTTGATTACCCTACAATTAAAAATCATATTCCCTAATTATAAACGGTAACATTTCGATTAGATTTCTAATAAGAAAGTAGAAAATGTAGCTTGTCTGGGTGGTGTAGTTGGTTATTACACTAGTCTCATAGAGTGGAGGTCCCTAATTCAAACTTGGGCTCAAACATGTAAATTTGGTTCTAAGCTCTTCTTTTTTTTTTTTTTTTTTACTAAGAAATTAGTGTTTGGTTGACGACTTATTAAAACATAACTATGGATTTAATTACTTCTCGAATTAAAAATCTCATTCCATCATTAAAAATCGTATCATTCTAATTTAGTTAGTAAAAAGAAAATAAAAACTGTAGTTGTCTGGGTGGTGTTGTTGGTTATCACGTGAATCTAACACATTAGTGGTCCCTAGTGCAAACCTGGGCTCAAACATATTATTTTGCTTTCCACATGTGTTTTTACCAGGAGATGTTTTGAAATTATATTGGTAAGTATTTTCCTTTCTTAATTATACTTTGATAGATTTTAGTGTATGTTTTGTACATGAGTTTACACATTAGAAATGAGAATAAAAATCATAGTTAGTGTTTGGTTGACAACTTTATAAAACACATGTATGGATTTGATTACCCCTATTATTAAAAATCACATTCCCTATTTATAAACGGTAATATTCCGATTATATTAGTAATAAGAAAGTAGAAAGTGTAACTTGTTTGGGTGGTGTAGTTGGATATCACGCTAGTCTCACACGACTAGAGGTCCCCTATTCAAACCTGGGCTCAGACATGTAAATTTGGTTCTAAGCTCTTCTTTTTTTTTTTTTTACTAAGGAAATTAGTGTTTGGTTGACGACTTATTAAAACATAACTATGTATTTAATTACTTCTCGAATTAAAAATCGTATCATTCCTATTCAGTTAGTAAAAAAAATAAAAATGTAGTTGTCTGGGTGGTGTAGTTGGTTATCACGCAAATCTAATCACATTAGTGGTCCCAAGTGCAAACCTAGGGCTCAAACATGTTATTTTGCTTTCCACCTGTGTTTTTACCAGGAGATGTTTTGAAATTATATTGGTAAAGTATTTTCCTTTCTTAATTATACTTTGATAGATTTTAGTGTATGTTTCGTACATGAGTTTACACATTAGAAATGAGAATAAAAATCATAGTTAGTGCTTTGGTTGACAACTTTATAAAACACATGTATGGATTTGATTACCCCTATTATTAAAAATCACATTCCCTATTTATAAACGGTAATATTCCGATTATATTAGTAATAAGAAAGTAGAAAAGGTGTAACATTGTTTGGTGTGGTGTAGTTGGATTATCACGCTAGTCTCACACACTAGAGGTCCCTAGTTCAAACCTGGGCTTAGACATGTAAATTTGGTTCTAAGCTCTTCTTTTTTTTTTTTTTTTTACTAAGAAATTAGTGTTTGGTTGACGACTTATTAAAACATAACTATGTATTTAATTACTTCTCGAATTAAAAATCGTATCATTCTAATTTAGTTAGTAAAAAGAAAATAAAAAATGTAGTTGTCTGGGTGGTGTAGTTGGTTATCACGCAAATCTATCACATTAGTGGTCCCAAGTGCAAACCTGGGCTCAAACATGTTATTTTGCTTTCCACCTGTGTTTTTACCAGGAGATGTTTTGAAATTATATTGGTAAGTATTTTCCTTTCTTAATTATACTTTGATAGATTTTAGTGTATGTTTCGTACATGAGTTTACACATTAGAAATGAGAATAAAAATCATAGTTAGTGCTTGGTTGACAACTTTATAAAACACAAGTATGGATTTGATTACCCTACAATTAAAAATCATATTCCCTAATTATAAACGGTAACATTTCGATTAGATTTCTAATAAGAAAGTAGAAAATGTAGCTTGTCTGGGTGGTGTAGTTGGTTATCACACTAGTCTCATAGACTAGAGGTCCCAAATTCAAACCTGGGCTCAGACATGTAAATTTGGTTCTTAGCTCTTCTTTTTTTTTTTTTTTACTAAGAAATTAGTGTTTGGTTGACGACTTATTAAAACATAACTATGGATTTAATTACTTCTCGAATTAAAAATCTCATTCCATCATTAAAAATCGTATCATTCTAATTTAGTTACTAAAAAGAAAATAAAAAATGTAGTTGTCTGGTTGGTGTTGTTGGTTATCACGCAAATCTAACACATTAGTGGTCCCTAGTGCAAACCTGGGATCAAACATGTTATTTTGCTTTCCACCTGTGTTTTTACCAGGAGGTGTTTTGAAATTATATTGGTAAGTATTTTCCTTTCTTAATTATACTTTGATAGATTTTTGTGTATGTTTCGTACATCAGTTTACACATTAGAAATGAGAATAAAAATCATAGTTAGTGTTTGGTTGACAACTTTATAAAACAAAAGTATGGATTTGATTACCCCTATTATTAAAAATCACATTCCCTATTTATAAACGGTAACATTCCGATTAGATTTGTAATAAGAAAGTAGAAAGTGTAACTTGTCTGGGTGGTGTAGTTGGTTATCATGCTTGTCTCACACACTAGAGGTCCCCAGTTCAAACCCGGGCTTAGACATGTTTATTTACTTTTAAGCTCTTCATTTTTTACAAGGAAATTAGTGATTGGTTGACAACTTTTTAAAACACACCTCTGGATTTAGTTACTTCTCGAATTAAAAATCGTATCATTCTAATTTAGTTAGTAAAAAGAAAAAAAAAATGTAGTTATCTGGGTGGTGCAGTTGGTTATCACGCAAATCTAACACATTAGTGGTCCCTAGTGCAAACCTGGGCTCAAGCATGTTATTTTGCTTTCCACCTATGTTTTTACCAGGAGATGTTTTGAAATTATATTGGTAAGTATTTTCCTTTCTTAATTATACTTTGATAGATTTTTGTGTATGTTTCGTACATGAGTTTACACATTAGAAACGAGAATAAAAATCATAGTTAGTGCTTGGTTGACAACTTTATAAAACACAAGTATGGATTTGATTACCCCTACAATTAAAAATCATATTCTCTAATTATAAACGGTAACATTTCGATTAGATTTCTAATAAGAACGTAGAAAATGTAGCTTGTCTGTGTGGTGTAGTTGGTTATCACACTAGTCTCATAGATTGGAGGTCCCCAATTCCAACCTGGGCTCAGACATGTAAATTTGTTTCTAAACTCTTCGTTTTTTTTACAAGGAAATTAGTGTTTAGTTGACAACTTTTTAAAACACACCTCTGGATTTAATTACTTCTCGAGTTAAAAATCTCATTCCATCATTAAAAAAAATAAAAAAATGTTGTTGTAAATTTGCTTCTAAGCTCTTCGTTTTTTTACAAGGAAATTAGTGTTTAGTTGACAACTTTTTAAAACACACCTCTGGATTTAATTACTTCTCGAATTAAAAATCTCATTCCATCATTAAAAAAAATAAAAAATGTAGTTGTCTGGGTGGTGTTGTTGGTTATCACGCAAATCTAACACATTAGTGGTCCCTAGTGCAAACCTGGGCTCAAACATGTTATTTTGCTTTCCACCTGTGTTTTTACCTGGAGATGTTTTGAAATTATATTGGTAAGTATTTTCCTTTCTTAATTATACTTTGATAGATTTTAGTGTATGTTTCGTACATGAGTTTACACATTAGAAATGAGAATAAAAATCATAGTTAGTGTTTGGTTGACAACTTTATAAAACACAAGTATGGATTTTTTTTTTGAATGCTACTAGCTCTATTACATTGTAGTATCTGTTCATATACTTTCTCAACCTACTGAAACACAGAGAGCTAATAACGCCTCCACTGAGGCTTGAATTTACAACCTTCCAAATGGAAGTCCAACCCGGATACCATTAGACCACAAGTATGGATTTAATTAACCCTACAATTAAAAATCATATTCCCTAATTATAAACGGTAACATTTCGATTAGATTTCTAATAAGAAAGTAGAAAATGTAGCTTGTCTGGGTGGTGTAGTTGGTTATTACACTAGTCTCATAGAGTGGAGGTCCCTAATTCAAACCTGGGCTTAAACATGTAAATTTGGTTCTAAGCTCTTCTTTTTTTTTTTTTTTTTTTACTAAGAAATTAGTGTTTGGTTGACGACTTATTAAAACATAACTATGGATTTAATTACTTCTCGAATTAAAAATCTCATTCCATCATTAAAAATCGTATCATTCTAATTTAGTTAGTAAAAAGAAAATAAAAACTGTAGTTGTCTGGGTGGTGTTGTTGGTTATCACGTGAATCTAACACATTAGTGGTCCCTAGTGCAAACCTGGGCTCAAACATATTATTTTGCTTTCCACATGTGTTTTTACCAGGAGATGTTTTGAAATTATATTGGTAAGTAGTTTCCTTTCTTAATTATACTTTGATAGATTTTAGTGTATGTTTTGTACATGAGTTTACACATTAGAAATGAGAATAAAAATCATAGTTAGTGTTTGGTTGACAACTTTATAAAACACATGTATGGATTTGATTACCCCTATTATTAAAAATCACATTCCCTATTTATAAACGGTAATATTCCGATTATATTAGTAATAAGAAAGTAGAAGGTGTAACTTGTTTGGGTGGTGTAGTTGGATATCACGCTAGTCTCACACACTAGAGGTCCCTAGTTCAAACCTGGGCTCAGACATGTAAATTTGGTTCTAAGCTCTTCTTTCTTTTTTTTTTTTTACTAAGAAATTAGTGTTTGGTTGACGACTTATTAACACATAACTATGTATTTAATTACTTCTCGAATTAAAAATCTCATTCCATCATTAAAAATCGTATCATTCTAATTTAGTTAGTAAAAAGAAAATAAAAAATGTAGTTGTCTGGTTGGTGTTGTTGGTTATCACGCAAATCTAACACATTAGTGGTCCCTAGTGCAAACCTGGGATCAAACATGTTATTTTGCTTTCCACCTGTGTTTTTACCAGGAGGTGTTTTGAAATTATATTGGTAAGTATTTTCCTTTCTTAATTATACTTTGATAGATTTTTGTGTATGTTTCGTACATCAGTTTACACATTAGAAATGAGAATAAAAATCATAGTTAGTGTTTGGTTGACAACTTTATAAAACAAAAGTATGGATTTGATTACCCCTATTATTAAAAATCACATTCCCTATTTATAAACGGTAACATTCCGATTAGATTTGTAATAAGAAAGTAGAAATTGTAACTTGTCTGGGTGGTGTAGTTGGTTATCACGCTTGTCTCACACACTAGAGGTCCCCAGTTCAAACCTGGGCTTAGACATGTTTATTTACTTTTAAGCTCTTCATTTTTTACAAGGAAATTAGTGATTGGTTGACAACTTTTTAAAACACACCTCTGGATTTAGTTACTTCTCGAATTAAAAATCGTATCATTCTAATTTAGTTAGTAAAAAGAAAAAAAATGTAGTTGTCTGGGTGGTGCAGTTGGTTATCACGCAAATCTAACACATTTGTGGTCCCTAGTGCAAACCTGGGCTCAAGCATGTTATTTTGCTTTCCACCTATGTTTTTACCAGGAGATGTTTTGAAATTATATTGGTAAGTATTTTCCTTTCTTAATTATACTTTGATAGATTTTTGTGTATGTTTCGTACATGAGTTTACACATTAGAAATGAGAATAAAAGTCATAGTTAGTGCTTGGTTGACAACTTTATAAAACACAAGTATGGATTTGATTACCCCTACAATTAAAAATCATATTCTCTAATTATATACGGTAACATTTCGATTAGATTTCTAATAAGAACGTAGAAAATGTAGCTTGTCTGTGTGGTGTAGTTGGTTATCACACTAGTCTCATAGATTGGAGGTCCCCAATTCCAACCTGGGCTCAGACATGTAAATTTGTTTCTAAACTCTTCGTTTTTTTACAAGGAAATTAGTGTTTAGTTGACAACTTTTTAAAACACACCTCTGGATTTAATTACTTCTCGAGTTAAAAATCTCATTCCATCATTAAAAAAATAAAAAATGTTGTTGTAAATTTGCTTCTAAGCTCTTCGTTTTTTTACAAGGAAATTAGTGTTTAGTTGACAACTTTTTAAAACACACCTCTGGATTTAATTATTTCTCGAATTAAAAATCTCAATCCATCATTAAAAAAAATAAAAAATGTAGTTGTCTGGGTGGTGTTGTTGGTTATCACGCAAATCTAACACATTAGTGGTCCCTAGTGCAAACCTGGGCTCAAACATGTTATTTTGCTTTCCACCTGTGTTTTTACCAGGAGATGTTTTGAAATTATATTGGTAAGTATTTTCCTTTCTTAATTATACTTTGATAGATTTTAGTGTATGTTTTGTACATGAGTTTACACAATAGAAATGAGAATAAAAATCATAGTTAGTGTTTGGTTGACAACTTTATAAAACA